CCACTAACTATGTCAGTGACCAATCCTGCCTTTAGAGTGACTCAAAGCAGGATAAAACATGTGAGAGGCTATCAAGAAATTGTGGGGGTGGGGGCCTCCCTGGTGGCGCAACGGGTTAAGACGCAACCTATGAAGCTGTCCGCAGCCTCTGCAGCACGAGTTCAATCCCCTGGCCGGCCAGGGAGCAACCCACATGGCAGAGCAGACCTCTCCTGACGCACCTGCTGCTCCCCTCAGCAGTGCACTTTGGTCAATCTGCCTGTTCTGTTCCCCACTCTGTCTCCAGTGAATTCTCTCACCAGCCCCCCATACCTCTGGCCTGTACCCCATCTCTTGTATGCATGAATATATAAATCTTTTTTTAAAAAAAAAAGAAATTCTTGGCTTTTTAAGGCCCTTGAATATTCACTTCATATTCTTTCATATTCACTTCATAGTTCATCTGAATTTCTAGAATTAGAAATTCAGAATGTCTAACTCTGAATGTGATTGAATGGAGTAAAATTTCTATCAGTTTTCTTTACTTCTAAAAGCTCTATTAAAACATATAGATGTGTACTCAGTCCAAGTTCTGGAAAAGTCAAACATCTATATATACATGGTTATAAAAACTACCTCTAGAAACCAAGGGTCATTTCCTACATATATGTTATAACTTGATTTCTTCCTAATGTACTCTAGTTCTTAAAAAGGATCCTTAAATAGGTAGTAAATCAGAAACATTTAAATTCATGTTTCCATGCTGAGTAGTTTGTAACAGCTGGAAAAGCACACAAACATTAAGAATGGATAAACTACTACTGCTTCTCAGTAGGATGATATCTTCAATTTTCACACATGGTGAGGGTGAACACAGATGAACAGCCCCAATCAATCAGATCTCTTTTCATTTCCTGACACTGGATACTGGATACTGGAGACAAATAAAAGGCAAATACTCAAAGGTACTCCATAATGAGATCCCCAATGGTGAAGAGGATCCACAGAAGCTTCCAGAATGAAGAGGAAAGGGAGATGTTTGTCGTTTCTACAGTGCTAAATAGCAGCTTCCCCATACCACATTGCCAATGGTATTTCATCAAGACCAAAAGGAAAAGTGGTGCTATCTTAAATATGCTTTGGATAAAATAATGACAGAGGACTTAAGGGGAGGGCCAAAGGAGGTTGATGGAAACTATGGGGTCATCTTGGTTGGACATTTAGATACAGTTAAGATACAACTAGGGTAAAAACTGTCCTCCCTGCTAGTGAGCTACATAGAATCGACCCTCTGGACAATCCTGGCTTAATCTCATATTCTCACTCCTATGTAAGTGTGGTACATTACTTGCAAATATGGCTGTAATTATTCTCTCTGTTCATGCTCCTTGCAACATGACTGCAACTCCTTCCTTGAAGAGATGGAATCCATTTCCACCTTCAAAACTGGCTTTTTTTAAGCTAACAAAATTCAGAGGCAGTAACCTTATGCCAGTTGCAAGCCTACGTCTTGAGAGGTCTTGTGTGTCTCTCCACTTTCTCAGAACCCCACCAACTGTGGGGTGGACAAGCCTGAGCTAGCCTGTTTAAAGTTTAGAGACCACGTGGAGCCTAGGGGAGCTCAGGCCAACCTAGAGGAGTAAGCTCCTCAACCCCCCAGCAGATGGCAGACAAGCGAGCCCAACTAGGTCAGGAAACCTGCCCTGTGTCAAAGAACTACCCACCTGAGTCCTACCCACATCGCCAATAGACAGGATCCAGAGCTAACCAAATACTGGACGTTGAGACCACTAACCCAACTGTTACTGTGGTAGCTTGTTAAGCAACAAAGCTAGCTCATACAATAAGGAATGGATTCTTCGTGAATAATTCATTCTGTGAACATTTATTAAGTGCCTCCTATATTTCAAGTAGTGCTCTCAGTTGTTACTGGGGGCACAAAGATTAATATGCAATAGTATAAATTATGTAGATAAACACATCATGTAGATAAATTATGTAGTCATTTCCTAACTACACTAAAAGTGTGAATAGCAAGGTCTACTTAGAGGAAAGGAAGACTCAAAGAGGTCACATTTGAGTAGGTTTTTAAAGAGAAAATGATTCACCAATGGACATCAGAAGTAGAAGAAATAGCATGTGCAAAAGCACAGATGCTGGAAAGAATTCAAGGAATGTTCTAGGAATGGAAAATAGTTTAGGACAGATGGAGTGTGGGGAGGAAATGGCAGATGATGGAGCAGGAAAAGCAGGTTGAAGGCAAATAATGAGGGATGTCATAATGTAAATTATTCTAAGGGAACTGAATGCCTCTTGTAGGCTGTGGAGAGCAACAAATCTTTTTAAGTAGGAAATGACATGATTCAATCTGTTTTAGGAAAAGAAAGCTGATAAGTGGAGATTTTGAAGCAAAATTAAAAATCAGGGTGATCAGTTGAGAGGCTATTACTACAATCCTAAAGAGGACCTCAATCACGAAGTGGCAAATATAGGGAAGACAAGATGATTTTTAAAGATGTTCCAAAGATAGGGGAAAGCCTCAGCAGCCTTGACAACTAACTAAATATGGGTTGTGAGGGTGATAGAAGTTGTGTGGGAGGATCAGGGACAGTGCCAAGATTTCTACTTTGGGATCCTAGATTAATGGCAAATATATTAATTAAAGTAGGAAAGTAGAAGAGCAGACTGGAGAGGAACAATGTATTTTTTTATAAAGACACCCATAGGACATCCTATGGGAGATGTCCAGGAAGCAGTTAAGGATACAGTTCTGGATCTTGTGTTGAGGAATAATTGGCAAGCAGGAAATAAGAGATGTAGAACACAGGACAGAAGGAGAGATACAGTTCAGGTCATGAAAGTGAATGTGAATGTTGGACATTCCAGGAAAAGACATGGATGGAGAAGAGAAAAAGCTAGTGAATGCAGAACCCTAAGGGGCATGGATATTTCAGGGTCAAAGAGAAGTAGCACCAAATGGCAGCACCTCTCCTTGGGATGAAAGCACAAGTATGGATTACAAATTAAGGAAAAGCGGATGCCTACCCATTGTGCCACCTTCTTCCTCTAGTCAAGTCATCACCAGGTCCTTCCCTATAGTCCCTGCCACTATGGAGATTTGGGGACATAATCAGCGTTAGAAGGAGACTAACAGCAGGGGCAACTTGAGTAATAACATCTTTGTCCATGTAGCTTATTGATAAACACACTTTTTCAAACCCCTTCTCCAGCACCTTCTCCAGCAGCAAACATCACCAGCCTAATTCTTAGGGCACTTATCTGAAATAGGCCTACAGTTAATTTCCTGCAGCTTCCAAATAGATTATACATAATGTATTTAACTGCATAGATTATCTTTATGTATTTCAGTAACAAAAAAAGGAACTTAAAAAAAAACCCAAAGTGACAAAGATTTCAGAACATAAAAGCAATAGCCATAAAAAAATTGATAACTGGGCTTCGTTAAAAATCATCAAAAGATACCATGAAGACAGTAAAAAGGGAGTCACACACAGAGGAAATATTTTTAGTACATGTATCTGACTAAGAACTTGTATGTGGAATATAAAAGAACTCTTTTAAAGAAATAAGATTTTTAAAAAATCAAATAACCCAATTCAAAAATGGGCAAAAGACTTGAACAGGAACTTCACAAAAAAAAAAAAAAAAGAAATGCAAATGCTAGTAAATATATAAGATGGCATTCAATACCACTACTCACCAGGAAACACAAATAGATTAAAACCATGAGGACCAACTTCAATGGCTGTTGCTACTATTGAAAAAATGAACAAGTGCTAATGAGCAAGTGGAGAAACTGGAACCCTTGTACACTGCTGGGAATGTAAAATGGTGTAATCACTATGGAAAATAATACATTACTCAAAAATATAAGTAGAATTAATATCTGATCCAGCAATTCTACTTCTGCTTATATACCCCAAAAAGTTCATAGCAGAATTTTGAAGAAATATTTGTACCTTCATGTTCATAGCTGCACTACTCACAGTAGCCAAAAGGTGGCAGTAAACCCAGAGTCCATGGACAAACAGATAAATAAAATGTGGTATGTGCATACAACGGAGTATTATTCACAACCTTAAAAGGGAAGGAAATCCTGACATATGCAACAACATGGGTGAAACTTAAAGAAGTTATGCAAAATGATGTAAGCTAGTCACTAAAAAACCAAATGCTATATGATTCCATTTATAGAAGGAACCCAGAATAGTCAAATTCATAGAAACAGAAAGTAGAACGATAGTTGCCAAGGCCAGCAGGGAGAGAGTGGAGATTTATTGTGTAATGGGTACAGTCTTCCAATTTTGCATGATGAAAGGAGTTCTGGATATGGATGGTGGTAGTGGTTATACAATGTGAATGTATTTGACACTACTAACTTTACTTTTAAAAATTGTTTAGATGGTAAATTTTATTATGTCTATTTTACCACAAAACGTGGATGAACCTCATTAGACATTCTAAAACCCCACAAGGGCCTATCCCTATACCTCCGGCAAAACAGTTAAAATTTAAAAGACCCCCTGCAAAAAAAAAAAAGTGTTAGTGAAAATGTAAAGCAATAAGAACAGTACTGGTAAAATTTAAATTGGACCAACTATTTTGGAAAACTGTTGGGTAGTATCTACTAAAGTTAAATAGAAGCCTACTCTTGATTTCAGAGTAGATATGTGGCCAAGAGAAATGAGTGGTGGACATGTGCATCAAACAACATAAGCAAGAATGTTCATGGCCGCTTTATTTATTAGTCACACACTGGAAATGCTCCCCAAATCCACCAGGACACTGGATACACAAATTGTGGTATACCTGAAAGAAGTATGGACTAGAAAGAAATGAACTGACCTCTCAACAATAGATTAAAATCCCCAAAACATGGATGAACCTCATTAGACATTATGTTATGTGAAAGATATACTGAAGAGTCCCTTAGATATGATAGTGTTTATATGGTGCTTAAAAGCTGGAAAAAAATTAAAAACGAATCACAATGTAGTTACCTTTACTTTAGAAGTGGGATGAAAAGTGACCAGAAGTCACAAGAGGAAGAAATCTTCTGGAATACTGGAAATGGTCCACATCTTGATCTGGTTGGGGGGGGGGGTGTCACATGGATATACATGCATGTAAGAATTCATCAAGCAGCACAATTTAGATGAATGCAACTTATAACCTTTATTGTATGTATATATTTATACCTCAAAAATATATTCTCTATCATGAAAAGGCTATAATTCAACAAAGGAACAAAATGTCAACCTTGTTCTTTGCCTTTCTGACTTAGAAGATTAGACCATATTCTTCTTAGACACGTTGTGGGATAATGAGTTACCTCCCAGTATCCTGAGTTAGATACAAATCGAAGTCCCAGGCAGTACAATTTTAGGTGTCCCAGAGCTTTTCTGAAGCCACACCATGTCCATTGTGGTCTTTACAGTAAGAACCATTCAGTCTTTATACTTTCTCAGTAAGAACACCCTATTTGCTTTCTACTGCTAAGTGTCCAATTTGATTATTTTAAGCTTCAAGAACAGCATCTGACTTTGTTTTACACTCTCATTGGCAGGGGCTTAACAAATCTCTCCTTGGCTTTAGGGGCAGAATGTCGAAACTCACAAGAAGTCACCATATCCCAAGGTTGTGATGAACGCAAATCTCCCTGAAGAGAAAGCTTCCTTTTCTTTCACAGTCATTTTGATGCCTGACCCTTATACGTCAACATAATAACAGCTTTAGCTTCCCTGTGAGAGCACCATTAGCTATGACCCACCGTTCTCAGGAAAAAAATAAAAATCTACAAATGTGAACATTTCCCCCCTCTAGTTTCTTTGGCCATTCATAACAGTTGCTACCCAGTTGTTGGAAAATGGCCTTAATACACAACTTTATACTTAAATGATAATCAAAGGCAAATTCTTTTGAATTGTGTCACAATGAAAAACTTTCAGACTCAATTGTCTTTGATCCCGTATTAAATCCATCCTTAGTTCAGTCAAGTGGCTAAATTACGAAGGTACCTCTTATATGCTGGTTTGGAAAAGCATCAAGATAGGAGAAGGAAAATGAAAAAAAAGGGTTGAAAAACAGAAGAGTGGGTTAGAAAAAAAAGCTTAATTCACTCATTGGTATTTTGATAACTAAGATGTCTAGTTAGACACAATTTTTGTAAAAAGCAGATACTGTTATGTTGGCGCAACAGGGTAACTGTGATAGTATACTAAATTATTCAGAACAATTGGCAGTCTTACAGTTTCGGGCAGTGTTTTTAAAAGCAAATTATCAAGCAACAAGTGGCTAAATGCAAAGCCACACAATTGCAATGGAAAAACAATGTTTCTCTTTTAGAACAGTAAAAAGTAATGCAGTATAATGACATGTAGTATTTTTATTTAAATTCATGGTCTGCAATAGAATACACTTGTATTTTCTCCTTTTGTGTTCGCCTTTGAGACTACCTCAAAATAAGTTTCACTTCATAAAAGTCTATATAGATGTTAAGATACTGGAATGCAATAATTATAAAGCCGGATAGGTAGATTAATTGTTCTACATACCTGTGGTTTTTCAGATTCCTGTGCTTGCTTACTCATGTATAGTCACTCTTATTTTTCAGAAACTGTTTCTGGGTTTTGGCTTCTACACTGCCACCTGGAGACATGAAAAAGAAATAACCATGTACTGTTCATGGAGCACGCATCTTCAGGGCATCTAGCAGGGACAACTGGGGGGAAAGTGGCAAAATATTTACTCCGAAAGATAAAAGTGTTTTTATGTCCTGTGTGGAAAATTTCTAAGGAGTCCCGTTCCCCCCAATGGTTTGATAAATTATTTAGAAATCAAAGCATAGGTAAATCTCAGCTCAACACCAGTGATCAGTTCATTAAAGGAGACGGAGTCACGGAACCCAGCCGCGTGCCAACCCACAGCCATTTCGACACCTGTCCCTAAAGATTAAAGCAACTTGACCACTTTGTTAATCAGGTGATTAAGAATTCTGCAAATTAACACAAAGGAAAGAGAGAGGAAGAGATTCAGGCAAAGGTTACTTTGCCCCGTGGTTGTAAAATGCGCATTTAAACAATAATATTAATTCTAGCATGAACTTGAGTTTTGTCCAATCTAAACAGCATTTAAGTGGGGTATTTTCCTAATGCCCTATCGCGGATTTGAATGTAAATGAGAAGTGCTGAAAGGTCTTTCTGACACCCAACGCATTTTAACACAAATAGGCTTTTTCCTTTAAATAAAGTCATGAATAAAAATCCATGAGCAACTATCAGTCGTGAAATGAGAGGGTGTAAGGGGGAGGGGAAAGAGAGAGACAGAGATTCTGGAGTTAATTTAGAATATCAGACTGAACCATGGTGTGGGGTTTGTGTGAGAGAGAGTGGGGCGGGGGGGAACAAGAAGGGGAGAAAGGGAAGGGGACTAGAGAGGGAGAAAAGGAGATAAACACTGAAATTCTGGTGCTAATGTAGAATATCAGGCTGAGACAGAGAGGAGAGAGGAGAGAAGAGAGACAGGCGGACCAGGCGCAGAGATCAGGAGTTGAAAATAACAGCGATGCCGCGCCACGCAGTGTTCACCTCCCGAGTGCCCGCAACCCGGAACATGGGTCCCAGCTCCTGCACCTTAGGCCAAAAACACAAGCACCACCCCGACTCCCACCCCACCTAGGTGAGATCGCGCCAGAAGCTGCCGAGCTGGCGTGCCAGCCAAGTCGGCTACCGCGCACACCCGGGGGGTCCTTTTTATCCTTATCAGAGATGTCCCCACTTACCGGCAATTTACTTTAATGCCCCGAAAACCTGGTTTGATTTAAGGAATTGCAGCAAATCCAGGAAAACCAAATCTTGACGCAACTCTCCTTCTCCTCCCTAGGAGGAACATTCACACACGCTCATATTCTCTCTTCCCGACCCCGAACACGCGCCGGGCCATCCCAAGGGGACCTTTGGGGGTCCGCCAGTGACCAATCCTGCTCCCACGTGCTTCCACGAAACCCTCGTCCAAACGAGCATAAGGCACAAGTATCTAAGTGCAAGCGCACAGTCAGCCTTCGCAGATAAGTTCGGCAAACCCGTTTTCCGCCCCCGCCCCCGCCCCCGCCGGGGCCTTGAAAGCGGAGGGAGCGCGCGGGCTCCAGCTCTGGCACCCGCCCCAGCAGACAATACTCGAGCAACTCGTGCCTTCCCCGCACTCGCCCCAGCAGGTCCTGCCACCACTCTCCTCCAGGGTCCCTATAGCCCCGCGTGCCCAGATCAGGGGGCGTCCTGATGGTTGCCGGGTGTGGACTGTGAAGACCGGGGTAACTGCACACACAGCCGAGATTGCGGGCGGGGGAGGGGGTCGCAATCCTCCCAACCCGCATGAGTGCTGGGCTCATCAGAAAGGGGTGGGGTGGGGACATGAGACCTGAGTGAACCCCAAGGGAGGCAGTTTTCCCGCACCTCTTCCCCACCTAATAGAGCGTGTGGGCACAAGCGTGCCTACCCTGGGCCGTGCACCTTCCTTTTGCCCCGGGACCTATCCAGTCCTCGTCCCCGAGCGCAGGACCCTGGAAGGGAGGGCATCCTAGCCGCGGCGGCCCGGGAGGGGTCCGAGCGCCGCGATTGGGGGTGCCCACCTGCGCGCAGGGTCGCGGTTCTCACCGGTGCGCCCGCGGGCTGCACGGTCTCCGCTGCAGGAGGAGGTGGCGGCGGCGGCCTTACTCCTGCACTCCGAGAGCCTCCTGGCTCCCGGGCAGCGGCGGTGCTTCCTTCCCCTCCTCTCTGCGGGCGAGCCTCCCACCTAGCCAGCAGGTTCTGCCACCGTCCCTCTGCCCGCCAGAGCCAGAGCTATCCTCCCCGCCCCTTTCCCGCCGCCCCGCGCAGCGCAGCGCTGCGCTCCGCCCCCGCCCGCCCATCCTTGCCCGGGCACTGCCGGGGGGCTGCGGGCCCCGTGCCTCCAGCCGCAATCCCCAGTCCCAGGCGGAGTGCGGAAAGGGGGGTGCGCCTCGAGCCCACGCTCCTCACCAGCTCCCCACTTTTCCACGTGAGGTGGTCCGCACTCACCTCACAGCCAAGGGCGTGGGCATCGCGCGCTCTGCCCTAGCTCTTCCGGCGTCTCTTCACTCCCGGCGAGGCACCTTCCAAGGACCAGAAGGTGCCTCGTGCCTTGGGGGGAAGGAGGTTACTGAAGCGGGTGGAGTGAGCGGGAGAGAGAGGAGGCGAAGAAATTAGCATGTCAACTGCCAGGGGATACAAGTTGCTGCCTGTGCCTCGTTTCTGTTACGTTCGATACCTGGATGTGCTGCTTTCCCTGTTACTACCGCAGCAATATTCAGAGGCATGAATATAAGATTTCCAAGCTAATTGGTTGTAGGGGCTTTTTAAAAATTTAACGATGCAGAAGACAACAGACTCACTCTTGTTTAAAAGTTACTTTATATATACGGCCACGTTTCTAATTTTAAAAAAATAGCAAAATATAAATAACAGAACAGCTGTGTTTTATAGAAACAGATCCAGTGTGTATGTATTTAAACCCTCTGTAATTATATTAATTGGGTTCGTTTTAAAGTGTATTTTAGGTATTTCTTAAGAAAACGGCCTCAGAATTTAAGGATTAGGAACCCATAAGTTTTAATTTGGCTTTTTGCCATTGTTCTAAAATGTCAATTTCATGGAAATTATTAAATGTGGCTATGTAGAAAAATGGATCCTTTTTCTTCCAGGTTGGCAACATTCTTAGATTTGGCAAAAGACAGCTTTTTTTAAAGCCAAGAAATAATAAAATTCTCATTCATTTTCTACTGATGGAATATCTGGTTTAGCAGCGTTTTCTTTCGTGTTTTTCGCTTTGAAACAAACTTGTTTCCTCTTACATTTGTTTTCTTCAAAGTGTTCTCCCTAAATATCAATAAAACTATTGGTGCTGTGATTTTTGAGTCTTTGCTTTCTAAAAGGGATAGGAAATATTAATAATGGATTATCAAAATCAACTCCAGACTCATGATACTAAATTTCACACTGATTAGCCCTGTTTTTCAGCTTTGCTTTTAGGAATTTAACCGAGCATTTGAAAACCAAGAATTTTTAAAGTTCCGTTCTTATAAGAATGACATGTACACTTTTTAATTAACATGTTGAAGTACAATTAAATTCATTAAATTCACTAATGAAAAGCATATTCGTACTGTACTTGTTGCTGGGTAAATGAGGACATCATGGTGATAAACAGCATTCTGAAGAGGAGACTCTAAAGCAAAGACAACAGTCTTTAGAAAAACTGATGATCCCCTTTTCAAGGCAAGGATGACAAATACCCATAATTATGCAAAGAATGACTGCTGCCTCTCTTCTCTGTGCTTTGGTTTTGTGGCTGGGCCTGCATTTATATCTCTTTTGATCATCGTAATAAAAGTAAAGTAATTCAGCATCCCGGTGACATTGCTTAGTAAGTTAGCAATTTGAAAATGCTTTTATTACCTAATTAATCCAAGTAAATGCCTCTGATAAATCCGATTTACTCTTACATTTTTTTTTGGTGCCTCCGGAAAAACACTTGCGTGAAATAAAAACAGCTAATGCAAGCTCAGGAACAATTGCCAGCCAGATTCTTTCTGGGCTTGTGTGTTGCAATAGACTTGATATTAACTGACCCTTGGGTCTTAAATTATATATCAGATGTTGGTTATGAATTGTTCATCGGCTACTTCTTTAATGAGTCCCTATGTCTTTCTTTGTCCTGCTTATTCCCTAGAAGCATATTTCATTTCTTTTTGTCTGCCTTATTGAATCTACCTTTACCTAAACTATTTTCATTGAACCAAAGAACCAGACTCTAATTCATAGCTCATTTGACAATCATCTTTGTCCTTCAGCTTAAGTCTTCCTTGAGGTCTTAAGTAAGAATCCAGCATGATTTAACATCCAAAATTGGAAGGAGTACTTCATTGGGTCTCTAAGGCCTGATAACAATCAGATTTCTCTAAACAAGGAGGGTGTGTCCTATTTGAATGAAAAGAAACAAAACCAGCAAATTCATTTAGTTCAGGTCAAAACTAAGCCAACAAAATCGCATTTGAGATCCATTCTAAGCCCAAATTAAGCTACAAGATATATAAAAAGCACAATTCAAATAACTTTATCTGTATTTTCTTTCACCACTACAAATCACTTGCTCCACTGACCAAACACCATTACATTTCACATTTCCCTTTTAGTCCATGTGCTATTGAGAGTTTTTCAACCGATCTTTAGATAAGTTAGAGAGTTTTTCACTGATCTTTTGATAAGAAAGTACACCACTGCTGTCTCCAAGGAATCCTGCAGCACCCTCCATTTGTTTTCAAAGTCTTCTATAAACATCTGTGCCATTGATAAGGGCAGATTTGATCATTCTATGTAGACTCAAGTGAGGATGTTCCAATGACCAGTCTGAATCCAAAAGTAGGGTTAAAACAAAACATGAGCTTGTTGCAAAAACCTATTATCAGTATTTTCCATTCTGATCCTCACTCAGCAGTTTTATAACACATTAACTTTTCCCTGTGGAGAAATTTTCTCCTAATAATTATTTTAATAATTTTTTGGTTTGTTTACTCTTTGGGCTGTGTTATTACTCACAGTGAGCCTGAACATGATGCATAGACTTCTCTCTTTTCTGTAACAACTGAGAATTTACAGCTCTAGAGATGGTTTCCTGATGGGAGGACTCTTGCTAGAGCTTCCTCTTATGGCTCCAAGAAAAGCGTGAACTAAGTTTCTTTACTTCAGTTGATTAGGATTCGTGAGCAACATCATTGATTCAGACTTGCAGAATGCTAATTACTTTAATTGGTCTCCTTGTGCTAGGGAAATATGTCACCAGCCATCTTCTAAGACAAAGAGTATAGAGACAATATCACTCAGATAATGCTCAGACTGGAATGTTGATACTCTAAGCTAAGTTACTTAAAAATATGTATGTATATGTATGTATAATTCAAATCTAAATATAAAGCTGAGTGATGTCATTTTGATGAGATGTTGGGTTCAGTGAACGGGGATCCTTGGGTGACCTCTAAGAAAAGGTTCTGCACAGCTCCCCTTTCAGTGGCATGTGGCGAGTTTACCCAGGAGAGGAACACATTTGCACAGGCACAGGCAGGCAAAGGGTACATTTTGAAAGGATGGGTTTATTAGGAAAAGGAAAAGAAAAAATAGAGAGGCACCCACATGGTCACTGGTGGGCAGTCTTGGAAGAAGAGCAACCTCTTACAGTGCAGAAATAGTGTCCTGATATAGTGTTCTTTGGAGGGTGGGGTTCATTCCTTTTTGGAATTGTTATCTACTTGTTAATCACTTCTATTAATTAATCCCTTCTATGGTGTGCCCTGCCAACATCTTCATCGCCACCTCTGGTTTGCACCTCTGTATACTCTCTATAATATAACAGTCAGTTTGAACCTAAGGCATTCCAGTCTAAGGAATTTTCTTTTCTATACTGGTTTAATGACTATGTGGATCATTTCTACTCCCACCTCCAGTTTCTGGTCTTGTGACACCTCCATCCCAAATTTTCTACTCTAAGCCTCCACCACTGAGTACTTGTAATAGATTCTTCAGCTACAAATCCCTTGGTAAGATTTATTTTATGATTTGGGGATATGGGATAAACTGATGCATACCTTATTATTTACCTTACAGGAAAGTACCATTTTCTGATTCAGATCTTCCCCTAAACTTCCCATCACCATATATTTAATTGTATCACTCATTTATGAAAGGAAGGAGGGAGAGAGACAGAGAAAGAGAGAGAGAGAGAGAGAGAGAGAGAAGGGAGGAAGGGAAAGGAGAGAATAAGGTCATTGTTATAGGGTGACTGCATGTAGCACTGGTTAGCACAACTGATAACCACGTCAGGTTGGTCAGAGCCTGGTTTCCTCTCCAATAGATCCTTTTCTTTGGTCTGTTTCATGCCTTCCAATCAAAGTCTTGTTCCTACACACCAACAAACATGGTGTTGGTCACCAAATGGTATAGGTGAAATTTGTGTTGTCAAATGCCCCCCCCCCCAAAATATGTTGAAGTCCTAACCCATGGT